AGAGGGTGGCTTTGCCAATACATTTTATATATAGTACAAGTAACATAATTGAAGCTGAACTAATTCTCGTATGTTTGTCTGGAGTTGGTAGTGAATGTTACGCTGTATTTCTCCGTAGAAGAATTTTCCAGGCGTTTGGATTGCTAAGTAATTTTAATAGCACCGTCGCTGAGGATAGACCGTCTGTGTGACGACGGGTATTGGGGAAGTGGGAGACATTGAGTTAGTTGAAATTATAAATTTCATTCTCCTTTTGACAAGACTTCATGTTGCTTGTCAGAAGGTAAATATTGACGGAGTGCTGGTTTTGAATAGAAATTACATTTGAAACACATTTGAATTGTAATATAATTATGTCCTGTTAGTTAAGGAGGACGTCACATGGGATGTGAAGAGGTGAGAATTGAGGTTTTCACAGAATTGAAAATGTGTATTGTGGTCTTCTGGAATGTGATGTCACGTGGTCTTGTAGGTGGTTACCGACATTTAATATTTTGAATGAACGTATCACATAATTTAGGGTACAGGCTGAGATATTAAAAAATATTGGTAACCATCTACAAGAACAGTGTCACAAACCAGAAGACCACATTCCACAGGGTGGAGGTGATCATAAAACCTGAAGGGAAGGGCAGTTTGGAAAATCCGCATATACATTGAAGGATAATGTTTAAATGTATCTCACAGAAAAAGGATATTAAGATGTGTACTGGATTCAGCTGGTGAAGGATGTTATTGTCCAGTATACCGATGAACCTTCAGGTTCTATAAAGGCGGGAAATTATTTTTTTTTGTTCAACTAAGTAACAGTTTTTCAACAAGACTGTACCATGGAATTAGTTTAATTATGGCCTATTGTGATGATGTTTGATGAAATCTTAGTGAAGCTGATAAATGGATGCTGAGTAAATAAGAAGCTATAAGATAAAGTCAAAGGTCAGTGGTAAAAGGAAATGGAAATATAAGTGAGAAGAGAGGTGTTATCTTGCATCATTTGTCTTGCTGTCGTCGTCTACTCGCTGTGAGTCGAAACACTGTGAAATGGTCTGAAGCATTTATTATCTTTTCTGTAGAAAGGCACATTTAAAGTAGGGCATGTTTGAATTGTAGTGGAAATGTGACAAATATTAGTGCAGTATTTATATACAAGAGAGCAGAATTTATGAAGATCAAAAGGAGATTCAAGTGGAGATGACGGCGTATCCTTGGAAAATTATAGTGTGTATATTATGCAAACAGCAATCCCTTGCTAGCCGCAGTTGTTATATTCCTGAAAAAGCTTTGTGGTTTTCATTATGGGAAATTTGGCAGTGAGGGGAGCTGTGTCCGCTGTTAACACTCATCAGTGTTTAGGCTGCTTATAACATTTCATGCAGTGGAAATATGAAAGGTAAAAAACTGGATTTGGATGCCATTACAACTTTCTTACAGCAACTGTAGATCTCATGGCAGAGAAGCTGCCAGTTTGTTGTCATGTGTGCACAAATTAAAAGCTGTATTATTATTATTATTATTCAGTGTTCTGTCTTACGACAGGTCCATTGCTCTGCCCAAAAAGAGCTCTCCAGTTGTCCCTATTCTCGGCTTCTCGCTTTAATTCCTGGAACATCATCTTCTTTCCTTGTTTAAGGTCGCCGGTTAGCTGTATCAATCTTCTTCCCAGTCCTCGCTTTCCTTCAACCTGGCCTTCGATGATATCACTCAGTAATCCATTCCTTCTCATAATATGTCCCAGCCAGCTAGCTTTCCTTCGTGTAATCGCCTGCAGAATGTTTCTTTGCTCGTTGACTCTCCTCAATACTTCTTCGTTGGTCACTCGATCCGTCCACCTGATCTTCTCCAACACCACATTTCAAAACTCTCCAGGTATTTCTGTTCCTTCTTCCTGAGTGTCCAAGTCTCTGCTCCATACAGCGCGACACTCCATACGTTGAACTCGCAAAATTTAATACAGTGATTGGAAAAACTGGATGCAACTGAAAAAATGTGGATACTTGAAACCTGCATTTAGCAACGCTGTGGTTGGTGAGGGATTCCTGTAACTGTAGAAAGTGCTGATGAGAATATTAGAACGTAAGACGTGGTGTGGGAAAGAAATACGTAATGAGAAACTTTATAATTTATATCCTTCTCATAACATTATTGGGGTTATTAAATGAAGGAGGTTGAGATTTGCAGAACATGTAGCATGCACAAGAAAACATGGAAATGCATACAGAATTTTTGACATAAACGTCAACAGAAGAAACCTCTTGTGAGACCTAAGCGTAAATTTGAGAATATTAATAGTTTGGATTTTAGAGGAATAGTGTCTGGACTGGATTTAGCAGCTTCAGGATAAGGTCTAATGGCAGCTTCTGTAAACACATAGTGAACTTTCAGGTTGTATAAGAATGGGGAATTTGACCACCTGATGAACTGTCTTCCAAGAAAGACCCTCACCATTTATAATATTTAGTCGGTATGGTACGTACCTGTTTGTTAGAATCTGGACTTGTCTGTGGAGACACTGGCATCCAAAGACGATTGAAAATGTTTAATTTGTAATGATGGACGTATGTAAAACATAATTGTCAGTTTTGAGTGTTGTGAAAGATGGTCTCTTATCTTGAAGGAAAAACATAAATTAGAAGTATTTAAAAAGC